TGAATATAAATATATATATATTTTTTATTATATATATAATAATAAAATTAATATATTATATTTTAAATATATTTTAAAATAAATATAAATAATATTAAATTATTTATTTTAATTAATTTATTAATTTTAAAATCTTAATATTTTTTATTTTTTGGGAAATTATTACCCAAATCTAGATATTTTTCCACCTGCTAGGTAAGGGTTAATAGATTTTAGCAGAATTAATTTTCCGTTTCTTCCGCCTCCATTTCTTCCTCCGCTTCCTCCTCCTCCTCTTCCTCTTCCTCCAAATTCTTCCCGGCTATATCCGCATTAATTTCCATGTCTACTTCGGCCTTGCTAACTCTTCGCCAATTTTTTCGCTAATTTCCGCGTGCTGTGGGCACTGCTGGACCTCAACTGCTGGCTTCGGCCTTGCTAACTCGTCGCCAATTTCTTCGCCAACTTCCAAGTGTAGTGGGCATTAATGGACTTTAATTGCTGGCTTCGGCCTTGCCAACTCTTCGCCAATCTCTTCGTCAACTTCCGCGCGCAGTGGGCACCACTGGACCTTAACTGCCGGCTTCCAATCTGAGTGGGCAAGGCTGATTCTCAACTGCAAGGTTCTGAGTGCAATGGGCACCGCTGGACCTCAATCAGGGATCTTCCGAGCCCAGTGGGCACCGCTGGACCTCAATCTGGGACCTTCCGAACTCAGCGGGCGCCGCTGGACCTCAACGGCCAGATAGAATGCCCGAAAATATGCCAGCTAAAATAAGTACTGATATGCCTGCCAGAAGATATGCCAGTTAAAATACCAGAAGATATGCCAGCTAGAATAAGTTCTGATATACAAGATAGAATGCTAAAAGGTATGCCAAATAAAATTCAGAATGTTTGTCAGAATATATGCCAGAAGATTTGCCAGATAAAATATCAAATAGAATGTTAGAAGATATACCAGAAGATATGTCAGATAAAGTGCCAAAAGATATGTCAGAACATATTGCAGAAAATATGTCAGATAAAACGCCAAATAGCATGCCAGATA